TCAATTTCAAAGATATATGACATCATCCGATGACAAAAACGTTTTTTTATAGGTTATGTTAGTTTAGATGCCCGAAGAAGAAGAACCAACTTGCTTGTCTAAAGATAAACTAAGTTGTCTGGCAGAAACAGAAACCTCAATGCTCTCAGTTCCAAAAACCGCAGGTCGATCGCAATGGACTTTTCCGTCCGCCAGCGATTTACACACAACTCATTTGCTTCAGCTTCTGCTTCTGCGTCTGCCAATATACAAATGGATATACATAACCTAGAAATAAAATCACTACAATGTTCAAGTTTTGTGTATGCAAACAAATAATGCTTGGCATATGCAGACTACCACATAATGTAGTAAACTTTACTCGGCGAGAGCTGAATGTGAATAAATTCGAGTTGTAAATACGATTTCCCAAATGTGCATACGAAAGCTATAAACTGTAAATATCGGATAAGTGATACAGAGACAGCGGCAATGTTTGCGGACGTAATAGATTTTAAGTTTTTCAATAAAGCGAAACTTTACATTGGCGACGCGGTTCACTCGGGGGTTCTGAATGCAGTCCGTGCAGTTTGACCACTGCTAATGAGTTCCGTCCGCAGTCCGTGGACCACAAAAACTTAAAAAAAAGGCACAAAAAATTAAATTTAAAACATTTAATGTTTTTAAATACTTTTATTATACTTTCTTATAATACTAGACTTTATCCACTTGGAGTGAATATTGCGCATCAATTTTTTGTATTGATTTTTTGTCTGCATGTTGTATAAACATATGTGGCTCCATCTGGGAGGGCTTTGTGCTTCATACGCACACATGTGCATGCATTACTTACCAAATTGAAATATGAGCGCACAAAAGCCAGCAACAATTGTGATTTTCTATTCACTTCTCGGCGTGCGTGCGCGCTGTGTGTATTTTAGATGCAAATTTCAAAAGAATTTTGCATGAGAAATATGATGTAATATTGATATATCGCCCCGGTTGTGAGCGAGCGCCCGCTGCGCCGCTCCCCATTTCGCCGCAATCGGTATATCGACGGCGGCAGTGGAGGAGGCGGCGATATAAAACGCGTTGTGTGTGCAACCTGCGAGCGAGCGAGCGGCGGCGCTTTCGTGTCCATTCAATAATTCGTCTTTTGCTCTCGGAAAATCTCCAGCTACATTTCTCTACTCGTACTTCCTCTCATCTCTATGTTCGATTTACTAAATTAACAATATCACAGCGAGAGCGCAAGATGTTTGAGTGTGGAATTGAAAAGCTTTGCGTTTTTTTTCCATCTCAAAGCTTTCAGAAAGAAAAAAATCAACAAAACGAAATTTTTTGCTAAAAATTTTCGTAAACAATCAGTATTTTCGGCCGAAAAACGTTCGCGTGTGTAATTATTTGCCTCATCCGAACTAAGTTGTTTACAATTAACCCTGTAATAACATAACAGCACGAAGCGCTAAAACCCCTCTGCAACGCCAACGAAAGCGAATTGCTAACGATCACTATTGCCGCGCATTGTTTCGGGAACGGCGCTGGCGTTGGCGCTGGAAATTAAAAAGAAAGATGTTGATTATTACGCAATTTTCCGGCTCGCGTTTCGCCCGCATTAAGACTAGTTAGTGTGTGCACGCCTGCACGCGTTTAGCGTTTAGTACTTGCTCACTGCTTAGCGCTTACTGTTTGCTGTGCGCTCGTGTGCGCACGTCGCTTTGCTTGTTAATCGCGCCGAAACTCTCGAGAGATAATTTCGCTGGATAATTGCTCGTCGGTGCGATCTTGCATATTAAACCACACACACCATGTTACGCACGTTAGATATTACCGAAGTAAATTATTCTTTTACTTCTTTCTTGTAATGCGCGCGCGCGATGTAATTTAGTAAATATTCCGTCGGAGTTGCGCGCGTTTGTCGTTTATCTCGGCGCGGTCGATCTTATCATCGAGTGCGTTTAACGCGACCGCATGTCGTTCGAATTCCACGTGAAACATTCAATTACCCACATATGTTGCGCCGTGGTAAACACACGTAACATTCGATGTTCACTGTCTTCCAGCGTGTGGTCACGCACTCCGAAAAAAGAACACGACCGCCTCGAATTATCAATGAACCGTGATTCCTGCAACTCTGGCCTGCAAGTGCATTGCACGCGAGCAAGAAATGGAAATGTTGGAATCCATTTATCAATGTCAATGTCGCTAAACAAAGAACTCCATCACTGAAATACAAATTTCCCACACTCGGATGTTTAATTTTATAATTATATGATAATAATGACACTTTATACACGATCGTGTAAAGTAAAATTATTACATTTTCGGTTGAGGAGAAAAAAAATTGCCGCTTTTTTAATCACACAAAAAGCATCAAACATCATTCAACACGCGTATGAACACATCAGCGCTCTGTCCGACGACTAATTAATTACAGAAATGTATTTCTTGGTATTTAATAATTTCGTAATGCGTGTCGCTCGGCGTGACGCGGCCGGCTGCGTTTTTTTTTTCTCTCGTCGAGTGTGATATACGCGCCTGACATGTGGAAAAGAATTACGCTGCCTTCGTTGATTCATTGTAATTTCCTCTCCGCGAGTCGCCCGACTGACGTTTTGTTATACGCTGTATACACACGCGTTTTTGTTTGCCCAAGACCACTGCGGTCATTAACAGCATAACCAAATTCGACGCTCGCAGAGAGAAAAAAAAACCGAAGAGCTTTCCAACAACTATTTTCATGTGCGTGCGTCTGGTTAATTACTGTTTACTTTAAATCTCCACATCCAGTCAAGATGGCCGCTTTTACTTTCGTCGCAAGTCATTGTGCAATCAATATTTTCTTAAACTTTCATTTGCGCGAACATCCGGTGAGTGCATTATTGGAAACTCGTTTGTCAGCGAATTATTATAAGCGTTAATTCCGGTTTATTTCGCTCAAAGTGGACACTTCATGCGAGAGAGAAAAATACAATCGCATAATTCTTGATTAACATTGTCGACTAATGCAAACAAGTATTTTCGGACACGCCACGCGACACAACAAGCGCACGATGTAGGTGGTATTGGTAAATAATCAAATATTTATTGCGCGCCGTTGTTTTGCGCTCATCCGGTCGTGCGTCGCAGATAATGCTCGCACCAGCGCTTGTAAAACAAACATAAATTTCGCGCGCGTTGATATTCGGAGGGACGCGCGCCGTAATCGGAAATTTATGCGCTTGAAATTTAGCTTCTATTGCCAAACTAAGTGATTTTTTTTTTGTGAAAGCGCGCGCGCTGAAACAAGTGCAAAGCCGGGCGCATAAGTAGAAATAATCTCCTGGATGTGTTTCAACATGCATGCACAATTTTCATGAAATATGAACAGGAATTAAACTGAATTGCAGCGAAAAATAACTCGTGTTGTTGATTTTATAGTTTTAAAAATAAAAATATCTAGTTTTTTACGCGGAAAAAATCAATTTTATATAAAAATTTCAATTGTTTATGATTTTATACAATTTTTTGCTGAAATTTTCACAATTAAAGCGTAATTTCTCGTAGAATATAACAGTAAAAAATAATGAAGATACCGCATTGTGTCGTGGAGTTATTAATAAATAAAGTTTAAAAGAAATATTGGTTTTTCTCGTCTCCAGTTTGAAAATTGCATGAAAACAAACGTATTGTTAGTTTCGTCTTAATTAAACTTGTAGCCAAGTTGGAAAAAGTTGAAAAAGTGTACACGACACAGCTGCCGTTTGTGTGGAAACTTTTAAAGATGAAATATTCAACACATTATTTGTCCAGACGAGAAGAGATGTTGGCGGAGAGCAAAAAGCCGGCGTTGAAGTTTCGCACACACCGGCGCATTCAATAATAATGAGCGTCTCGCGTTGTTGCTCGGCGCCGATATTTCATCGCTTCTCCTTTGCGCATCGCCGGCATCGCTATTTTGATTAACTCTCAACACGCCGGCAAAGTAGACAGTAATGAAACAACAATGCGGAGGGATGCGATCCGGATCAATCCGAGGCAATAAATTACGATGATATAATTTATGAATGAGCACGCACATCGCACATCGCACAAGAGATTGTGTATTATCGTTGTCATACCCTTATCTCGCATTTCGGCTGCTAAACTTTCGGCCACCTGCGGACTGATAAGCGGACTGAGTTGGATAAACTATTGTTTTCGGTATTTTAGTGGAAATGTAATAATTTATCGATAAAGTTAATTTGTCTCAGCAAATGCAATGAAAACTGACATTTTCGGGTATATTTCGAGTGACGAATTCGTGAACGCATTATAAAACTATGTGATACTTTGACGCGTGTATGAGTAAACGACTTTCTTTGCTATCCTACTTTCTCCGATCAGTTGAGACGACCGCCGATGTCCTCCATCTCTCCGGTGACTTCTTCTCATGGGCCCCACCTGAATGCTGGGCCAGGTGGGGACACCCAACTTCCTCTTCTCGGCGGCTCGTTCAAGGCCCGCACATAAAATCATCTGTCTCCCTAAAATCTCGATTATTTTTTGAGGCGAGCGCGGCATGGCTGCAACGTAAATTCCGGCCGACGGCTTTTTTCCTCTCTTACTTAAGCGTAGTCACTCGTAGTTTAGGTTCTACTCGTTAGTGCAGTGCGTGAGTGGAGTGAGCCCCATCAAAGGATATAATTTGGATTTTTATTCCTCAAACATGATACGACGGGTAAATATAAATTTTTTTGGAAATAATTTGACGCATGTTTGGTCGAATCTCATGCGTGTTGCTGCGGGCATTTCCGTCAATCTGCGAATGTAAATATCCTCGTTGCCTAATCTAAAATTAAAGCCTCTGTCCGCATAATGGATATAATGGCAATTGCATTAACACTGTTTGTGGTATCCGGCGAATCAATATATTATCAGTATCCCTGACCGCGTGCAGCAGCACTTAAATTAAGAGCTCGTTTGTTATCGAAAACAGTGACTAGATTATAAGCACACTGATTGGATTAGACTGATGAAGGGTATTTTGGTCTTCTTTACAGATGTTTGTTGCACTGCTGTGCGCAGTGTTAGCAACCCAACAGATCGCCGCCGTGGTCAACAGCGGGGCGGCTAGCACTGATACCGAAACAGACACTGCTAGTAGTGGTAGTAAATCTAGTGAGACTAGTGGTAGTAGCACGAATGTTGCTGATTCCATAGCGGCCAGCTCAGAAGGAGAAGCAAATCGGCGTGAGGCGCCAATTGTACCCCACGAGGTGTATGGCCCACCGCAGGATTCATTCAGTGCGCCGCAGGATTCTTATGGGCCGCCTCCGGATACCTATGTGCCATCAGCTCCGAGTAATCCTGGTCTGCCAGTGCCTGTTTATGGAGTTCCTGATGGACCTGCTAGTAATACGGTGTATCCCGCTCCACCTGCTGATATCCCGCCATCTTTGCCTAGTTTTGGACCACCGAAGAATTTCTATGGTCCACCGAAGGAATTTTATGGACCTCCAAAGCCAGAATATGGACCTCCAAAGGCAGAATATGGTCCTCCGAATATTAATTTTGGTCCTCCGAAACCAGTTTATGGTCCACCACCAACCAAGTATGGTCCACCTCCGCCAGTGAGCTTCCCAAAGCTTCCAAAACCTAATATTCCTGGTCCGTTCTTCAAACCCAAACCTTTTTACGGCCCACCTCCTAAAACTCAGTATGGCCCACCGTCAAAACCATTCTTCAAACCTAAACCTATTTATGGACCACCAAAGCTTCAATATGGACCACCTAAACCTGTCTATGGCCCACCAAAACCAGTTTATGGACCTCCACCTAAACAATACGGACCACCACCATCTCCGTCTTATGGCCCTCCACAAAAACAATATGGACCACCACCACCATCGTATGGACCTCCAAAACACCACGGACCACCGACTTCACAATACGGACCTCCTGATCCAGTCCCACATGGTCCTCCGCATCCAGGCGTTGGAGCACCACCAACACCCCCAGATATTAAATACGACGGTTGGCAACCAATGCCTGGTTTGGTTTCGCGTCCACCATCCGACTCATATGGAGTACCTCATGCTGAGCAACACAGTGTAGGAGACTTACAATTCAACAACGATTTTGTGCCACCTCCAGCAATTGGTAAAGGAATATCTTCCTTGAGTTTGGGATCATCGTACGGAAGTTCTGCCGGTATTAGTGACTCGTACGGTGCTCCGTTGAATACCGTCACTGGCACGGGTAACATCATCAGCACATCTGGTGACGCGCATATTCACAATCAGGATCAAAGTGCTATTTCACTGGGTTTATCAGCCGCTGGTATCGGGGGCGGGCATAATGGACAATTATCTGTTGTAAAGAGCATTGGATACGAAATATTCCCCAACGGTGGAGGTGGAGGAGGCCATGGTCATGGACACAGTTCTAGTCATGGATCTAGCAATAGTCTGAGCTTTCTAGATGATTCCTACGGTGCCCCACCAGTAAACTCATTTTCTTCATCTGGACCTTACCCAGCGTCACATTCTCACAAACATCACGGTCATGGATCATTCCATGGTGGTAGTTTCGGAAAAGGTTTATCATTCTCATCATCTGGTATTGGATTAATTCCACCAAGTGGTTTATATGGAGTACCACCAAGCGGTCAATATGGAACTCCTTTGTTACATAAAGGACCACCGAAACATCCCGTGCATTTCCGGGAACCAGTCCCACAAGGTTTGATCCAATCAATTGGAAACCATGTGGCTCATAATGATGCTGCTGGTATTATTGAACCACCTGGTAACTTCAACGGACCACAATATATTCCACCACCAATTGGTGATTTGAAAGACGAGCCAAAACCACCATCTGGTTTGTTCTCCCTGCCGACGTCTCATAGCTCTATTCAATTCCAAACTGGTGGATTCCAACAAAGTTCTTCATTTGGTGGAGCACAAGCTGCTGCTTTGACTAGTTACAATGCCCCATTGGGTAACATTGACAGCAGTTATGGAGTACCAGCTCAAAATGGACATATTGACTTAACCCATCTTGGCAGCAGCTCATTCCAAACCAACATTCCACATGACTGCAGCGCACATAAATTCACAACTCTACCACAACTTTCCTATGGAGTACCTTCAGCAAACAGCTACACAGCTTCCTTATCTTCTTTGACGACCAACATTGGTGGTAACGCACCTTCAGCTCCAACAACATCATATGGAACTCCTGATTTACAAACTGCTTATACTGTTTCCAAGGGATCTTCCGTAAATTCAGTTCAAGCGGATACCCAAGCAGACACTCATAGCAAATCAGTAGCTGAAGGTTTCGCACCAGGAAGTGAATTGATCAAATCACAAAGCATTGACTTTAACAATATCCCACTACAAGGTGCACTTGGATCCTACACCCTTCAGATCCAAGCCGCTGATGGAGCAGCTGGAACCGGAAGTTCCTCAGTGCAAGTGCCCCATGATCAAGTCCTGAACGATGGTCTCTTCAATCCATCCTAGCAGCAATTGAACAACCTCAGCAAAAGAATGGTAATGGAAATTCTAATACCCAAATTGTAAGCCAACCTTTATTAACCACTGGAGCTGATCAACAACAAACCCAAGTGCAACTCAGTGATGATTTGCAACTACCCTCCGAAGCTATCACCTCTCAATTCAACAAACAATTTGATGATGAAGGTCAACACTCCCTTCGTGAACAGGTGGTAGTGATAGCTCCCCAGACAAGTGAAGAACCTTCTTCCCCATCAACAGAAAAACCTAAAATCGAAGGTCAAGATGAAGAAGATGCTTCCGTACAACTCATAGATGATAATGAAATCGCGTTGTACTTCAACAACAATGCCGACACTTCAAAAACACAACAAAATGATCAAACCAACAAAGAAGAAACGCAAACTACAGACGTAAAGGAAGAAGCAGTTCGATCCGGTAAAAGCGGAAGCTATGTCTCCTTCCAAGCTCCCTCAGCGAGCTACTCCTTCGGCGAACTGAAATCAGAAACGTCCGCGACGAACTGAATGTGCTCAAAAAGACTTTTGTTTTGTTTTCGTTTACGATTCCGGAGTGCTGCGCCATAATCGCCTCGTTGAAGCACTCCACGTGTGTGTGCGTGTCGCGCGCAGCCGCAGAGACAACTATAATGTCATGCGTTTACTTAGTAATAAGATAATTTATTGTACTTAACTTTTTTTACAGCCAACAATTGAAATAATTTATAAACGAATGCTCTAAATGTAATAATAACAGAAACCTCTTGTATGTACAAAAATAACATCTTAAGAAAAAAAAGAACACAAATCTATTATTTTGTTTCGTTTGTGTGTGTTTTGACCAAATTTGTTCCAGCAAATCATTATTTTGTTAATTTGTGCAATTTGTAAACGTCGAAATGGGCAATTTTATAAATTATTCCTAATGAATGATAACTGTTATTGCGCGAGGCGGCCATTTTCATTAGTGCGAATCCTATGTTCCGATATATCGACCAATTTATCGCCATCCTTAATAAAGAAGCATTCGGACACACCACAGGCATCGTTTTATATTCAAAGCGGATAATTACACTGAGAGTAAATAATAATCCACACTGTTTCCGTGTTTCCAGCGAGTTTTGATTAAGAAATAAATTGCGTTCTGTATTAGCACGGTCACAAATCGATAGATTATGTTTGGACCACCGCCAGTCCGTGATAGGTTTACAACTAAGTTGCAAATAGTTGCCATTAACGCGGAGGGCCGTAGATATCCATACGGATAACACACACATTCACAGTGTGCTGGAATAAGATAAGAGATGATCTGCTAAACTCCCCAAACCCACTGCTTTTCCTTAATTTCTTTTTCGTTTACGCTGGGAACCTTGACAGTGAGAATGGATTGCCACGGCTGCTGGTGAAGATCGCAATCGACAACCTGTTTGCGAATAACTTTCGAACTCGATTCGTCACTTGCCGTGCCACCACACACACACACACACACAGAAGTTGTAAAAAAGTTTCACGCGAGAAGTTCGAGAAGTGTACCGGCGTCGAGGCAGACGAATATTTCGGGTGTAACCTTGAAATAATTTAATTACACGCTGCCTTCTCTCAGCGCGGTGAAAGTTGCTTAAGTAGAGTGCGTGCGCACGTACGTCTTTAGTCGCTGTTTACCACTGTTTGTGAGCACGGACAAGGTAATACAAGACGCATTTGAATCTTTTGGATTTTCATCATCATGCTACACTAAATACTGCTTTATTTATGGTGCATACAGACATATTAATAGCTCTGAAGGAGAATAGTAGGCAACCAAATATACTTTTATAGTTTTCGGGATATTTCTCTGTGATTTCTAAATTTACCGATGCGAGATATCGAATCCAATTAATAACGCTCGTGTACACAGCAGTGAAATCCAAAAATTTATAAATTACTGCCGCACAATCGAGCGATGATCTCGTCGAGATTTATGCGCGTCGAGATTAACGCAGCCCGCAGCACACCACGAATATTATTATTCAATTATTTATTGGAGCGATTTTGTTGGCGGAATATTATTACTCGCGTCGGTCTCTTATCGCGAACGCATTATATTTCTATCTGCTGGCCTGCTGGCCTCCTGCGCATTGTGCCCGGCTGACAAACGAGCCATAACGAGTATTGTATATATTGTACCGATTGTAAAACCTGCATCGGACGCCGACTGAATGCACTGCTTTGATTTCATTGACAGCCAAATGGCTTAAGTCTATTTCAAGCGCAGCGTGACGACTTAAGTAGAAATGACGTTAAGTTGACAGACAAGTTATGCTTATATCTTTATTTATTATTTAATAGATTTATTTCTAACCTAAATAATAAATTTTTCTATCGACTGAGTGAATAATTGAATAGCGAATTATAATAAGTTCGCATTTTAATGGCGCGCGCTGGAATTTGCATAATAAAAAGCCGCGATAATAAAATATGTTCCATTATGCGCCGCTCTCGAGCGCACTACATACATTTATTATGGCACTTAAGCCAATGTTGAACCGGCATTGTTCCAGAAGCGCGAAAAAAGCCGCGCGCACACCGCCAACGCGCGCGGATTAAAACCGACTTAATTAGACTATCACTATTCGTCGGCGACGAATAAATGCGCTCATAAACAACGAGTGCACATCTTTACATCTCATTCAATTTCCAATTTCCGCATTTTACGAGCGCACTATAGCATTTAATTGCATCTTGGGCAAACAGTGCAAGGTGGTCCAAAATTAATTACTCTCAGACGATAAAGAAAAATTAAATATTAGCATATTGATGAAGCATTATATCTCGCGAGCGGCTGAAACTAGTCGAGTCACACTAACCGGAAAATCGCTTTGTTTGTGTTGCGGTGCGTCTCGAATGCAGCGTGTGTTGTAACAATAATCGGGGAGGGAATTTTAATTCGAAACGCTCGCGCTAAGTGCATTTCTGAATGAACTATTTTTTAATGAATGCGCTCATAGGTGGACTTGCTGCGGTGCAAGCGGCTTAAGTTCGATTCGATGTTCGGCCCCGAAACCGGACGATTTTTAATGACGAGAAAGTGATCTCAAATAATTTAATAGACAACGAAAGAGAAATCTTTATATGTAAGTGACTATATCAGTGCATTTGACACAAAGACGCCGAATAGTATATGTATTTTATACAGGGCGGAAAAAAAATTGAGTTCTAGAAAAATTAACTAAAATCAGGTCGTAAAACTTGGAACTGCGCTTTTTTTTGCACTTTTAGTCACGATTTCGGAACCTTTAAGCACCGAATCCTTATTAATTTCTTTCCTTGTCATATTAAAAACATTCCAAAGTTTTATAATCTTTGCTTCGTTGGTCGCTATCGCTTTTAGTTTACGAGATATTTGCAATTGAAAAAACTAGTAAAAAATAAAAATACGTTTTTTGTTTAATTTTAGTCACAATTTTGGAACTTTTACGCCTCGAACTTTAATTATTCTCAAGCTTTATCTGATAAAGAATTTTCTGTAGATGAGGAATCTTTAATCGGTTGGTCGTTATCACTTTTAGTTTACGAGATATTCACAATCAAAAACAACGCAAAAATTGAAAATTTGTTTTTTCTCATTTTTAAGTCACAATTTTTGAACTTTTACGCCCTGAATTTCAATTTTTTTCTTATTTCACCTTACAGAGAATTTCCCGAAGATTAAGAATCTTCAATCCGTTCCTCTCTACCGCTTTTAGTTTACGAGTTAATGGAATTAAAAAATGCAATTCTATTTTTTCCTATTTTTTACAAAATAAACTTTAATAATTGCAATTCATGTTTTTAGAATCATATTTACCGCATATATTTTATAATGATGTGCAACCAAAGTAACTAATAGCCACAATTACATTATTTACCAGCTCCGATGCATTAACTCTCTCCGCATGAATGAACTTGTCGACTTATTATACCTCCATGTTCACTTCATGAAGATAAACTATACGTTCAACTTTAAAAGTAAGTATAAAATAAGAAATGTATAAATAAAGCGCGCGGCGTAACACTCTTACGTAACTGCACTGCACCACGCATATGCACGCTAATGATGCGGTGTTAATTAATGAGAGCGATTTGATGCGTCGTCGAAGGCAAACAGGACGCCCACGCGCGCGAGCACCGACCGCAGAGCTAATGCGATGATCATCGTGCATCCGATAAAATTTAATAGATCTAATAAAATAAGAAGGCATTGAATAGAAAACTTTCTCTACTCGCGCCCGCTTGGCGCTACCAAAAACTAACTGAACTTGACGCTTATTTATAAGGTTAACTTCACACGCAACCGAAAATCTTTCATTCCATTATAGATTTGGTTATGTAGTTAAGTATATGCGTAGCTTTAGATGCCCGGAGGCGCAGAATGTGAAGATGCGCCGCGTGATTTTCGGAATGCGAGCAATGTGGAATGCATTTTCTCATTTACATGTTTTCGAAATTAAAACGCGCGTAATCGTTACCACTTTTGTCGGCGCGGTTGAAATATGGCGTCATCTCGGCGGAAATTCTTCAACTATCTCCAAATGTTACTTTTCTGACTAAAACTTATGAGGTGAAAAAACACTTTTAAATTTCACCGTAATGTTCAGCACGACATTTATTCCAAGAACAATTCTATTAAAATAAAAAATTAAAAAAATAAAAATAAAAATTGGTACAAAAGTGAAAACTAATAAACTGTGGATTATACACGCGTAATTTTTGTTAATTATTTTTCCACACAAGATAATAACACTGGTATATGTCTTTCTTTCGTTTGTGAAGCGTGTGCACTTTATTAAAACTTTAATTAGCAAGATGCTGGTATGTTACGACTGCGCAGCACAAAAAACCAGTAGCAATATGGCAGATAGAAAGCTAAAAATCATAACAAAATCTGCTTTGACTTTGTCACAGTCTGTTGAAGAAAGCTACAACCACACTTTTCATATGTGTGTTAAGTAGACTTTCGTTCCGTAGTCATTAGAATCATTAGATCAATACGTCAGCGCAGCACATAATCAACTAATGGCGGGCGCGTAATTAACACATAACATGCGATAATCACGCACTTGATATTTTACAGCATAAAATATTAAATATTATTCAGTTATTCAATATTTGAAAAAAAAATGAATTTTTAAAGAATTAAAAGAGAAGAAAAATTGAATCGTTTTCAACTGACGGAAAACGAATTATAACAGAATGCTGCGCGCACCGAAGAAAAAATTATTTCACCGCATTGAATTTCCGCAAATTTCCCAGCGGGCATTTGGATGTTATAGGGAAAATAATTTCCTCTATGTAAAATAGCTTGACATCATGATTTCTTTTAGCGAAATAAAACGACCTAATCGAAATTTGTAACAATTTATGATAATGTTAATTAAATTTTTGCCAAATGATTTATATGTTGCACATACCAAAAAATCGACCGTAATTTATGCACGTGTGTACAAGTATAATAAATTTTAATTGAAAATAGTACGAATTAATTGAAAATCCAGCGTCCGCATTACATTTAACTGTGCAATTAACATTGTTATGATATGTTTGATGTGAGACCTCGTTCGTAAATCAATTAATATTAAAATGTTTGCAGTCATATTTAATTTTACGCATTAACGCATTAAATTAACCGAAAGCCAGCCAGCACCAGCTGCGTAATACGCGTGGAGGAGTTAAAATTAAAACTTGAAATGACGCTCAAAACTCAAAATTCAATCGGTTCGGTATTTTTCTGTTATCGTTTACGGCGCGCCATTGTGTTTCGATATTTCAGCAATAAAATTTTACTACTACACACACACACGCACACGTTTTTAATGAACGCCATTTATAGCTTAATATACTGGGTTAATATTGTCGTAAAAATTGCTTCAAGTACGATCAACAAATTGGATTTTGTTTCGTTGCGAGCGGGTCGATGTTATCGTTCCGATACGTTTTTCTCGTCGGCGGTGCATCGTCGAAAATCGAAGCGCATCGTTCAGTATTTGTACTCGCGTAGAGTACCTCGTGTACCTACTATTGTGCTATGCACGTTGCGCAAGATATGAATTATATCGTCGACGTGATATAAAGTGCATGTTCACGTAGACGAGGCGCATGTATATCAGCATGATTGTCTCTTTAATAACAATAATTATTGAGCGATTACGATCGTGATGCGTCGTTAGGTTTAATGAAAAAAAAAGTGTCATGATCAAGTTTCTCAATGTCAATTTAGAGTTAAAGAGAGTATAATATACAGGAGATACAGGGTGTTTTTGAGTTTTAAAAGAGTTTTCCTTGTTTTGAAGTCAAAAATGTTTTAAAATGCTATAAACTGTTCCTTTTTATAATCTCATATGAATAAGCCTCAATTTAATGCAGGAGATACAAGGTGTTGCATAGAAAATGTAAAAATTCCAAAAAATAATTTTTCTAATTCTATCTTTAAAGCGTCGATTTCTCCACGGTTTTGATATGCAAAAAGTAGTATTTTAAACACGGACGACCAATATTAATTAAAGTACTTTAGTCACGGATTTTAGTCACGGGGTGGAACTTGCGCCAAAAACGTTTAAAAATGCTACAAAGTGTTTCCTTTTATAATATATTCATAAATAAGCATTAAATTAGCACCAGAGATACAGGGTGTTACATAAAACCTGAAAAATTAAAAAAATAATTTAATGCTTATTTAATACCTTCCGAAATTTTGTTAATCATAATTTCCCTTTTATTAGTATAATATATTTTCATAAATCCTACCTTGTTGCCGGTTGAGAAGTCACGTAGACGGGTTTTCTTTATCATCTTTGTGTGCCGATTGCTTTCTCGAAATTAATGATCCCTGCGGCCACAAAAGAACACAGGTAGTAAATAAAGTATGTATTCTAATAATAAATCACATATGTACACAATACATGTACACACATAACCAACAATAACTAGAATTGAAGTTAACTATGACTACTCTTATATTGCACACATTCAACATGCTACAGAATTGTTGTTAGTTTATTTTGTGAAAAAGATGGGAATTTATTTATGAATTTTGATGAATGCACACACATTATTTATGAATCGAAGATGGCTTGTGTTGATTTAATATCGAGCTGTGTGTCGACTGTCGAATTGCGATGTTTGAGTTGCTGCTTGTTTTTGCACTCAGCTGCACTGTTGACTTAGGAAAGTTTTCACCGTACACTTTTATTTATCCAGAATAATACGTTGATTAATATTAATAAACGTTCGAAGCACCAGGAAGAATAAATATTTTGTTGAGTTTACGACCAGCGCTAGCTGGGAATTTCATTTTGATGATTTTCGAAGAGAGAGGTTACCGAAAACCCGAGGCGCGAGTTTTTACGAGGTGCGAATTATGACGGGATGAACACGTTTTCAGCGCGCGCGTGTGCAAGGCGTGCGTATTAAACTTCTCTCGCTTGACAAATAATATTCATTTCCGCGCTGGCGGCGCGAGCGCGAAACTCAAATTAATGCGCGGCTCATTTATTCCTATTTGTCTCATCAAAAGTTTGCAGCAATTTCTCTGCTCACCTCTCGTGTTATAAACAAAATATAAGCTACACACCTACGCGATGCTATTGTCTTTCGCCGGCAGCGAGCGACATTTCTTCAAGTTATAATTAAATGGCGCTCGCGTTGTTGTTGAAACGCATCGATCCTTCATCATGTACACGGAATTCCCATCAGGCCACAAATTAAATTTATAATTAATTGTCTGCGCGCGGCCGGGACTTTTTCGGGCGTCTCTTCATCTTCATCCAGAGTTGAACTAGAAGAATAATACCTTGCGGCACAGACAGCAGGGATCATTCGAAACCTTGCCGTCGCCTGCGGGATGAAAACTCTCTTACTCTTCCAACAAGTTTGCGCGTATATTCAAATTACGCTATTAAATATATTATAATATTAACCAAGTTGCGCTCACGCTCGTTTTACTTGCGCAACTGTATGAATAGTAAGTTTTTCCAGCGCATCGCTGGAGTTGTGCATTAATATAACAATTTCGGAATTCATTTAATGGTCCAGTTGGCTGGCGTAATGCGAAACGAAATGAAATGAAAATTTAATTTCACTCGACGACAGTTTTTCGTATCTGCATTAATAAACGTATTTTTAAGGACATGCACTCGCGTCGTTGCGCGCGTGCGCCCTCGTAAAAGTATAATTATTTTACATTTCCGCCAGGTTTCGACGGCGTGTTTCTTTATGTGTGGTTCAATGTTTAGTATGATTGCGTCGCTGGCACACAAGCTCACTTCTGCGCTAAATGGCGAAAAAATACGGCAAATTTTAATGAATGTTTTTATTTTCGCATAAAAGTATATGTAAGTTGTTAGCAAAAATTAAAAAATAAATAATTACACAATTGAATAACGAGGAATTTTTAAATTATAATTTTTAAGAATTATAACAACTATAATTTTTAGTATAATAGCATATTAAGTAACAAGTGGCTAAACGAGAGTTTTTGTCACGAGTTTTAATGAATCGAGTGTTTAATAATTTTTAGCCACGTGATGCTTACTTTATTTTTCATCATCCACTCTATTTTCATGTTGAAATTTTTGTTTTTAATTTTTTATTTTAAAATTTTGAGATTTACTTGTATATTACCGGAAAATATAAAGTTAGTGCTGCACCGTAGGCAAATGCGCCGGCGCAAGCTCCACCCCGTGACTAAAACCCGTGACTAAAGAACTTTATTGACTGTACGTACCTAAAGTAGCACTTTTTGTGTCATTGAACTGATGCTTTGAGATGTAAAAGTAGAAAAAAAGTTCCTTATGCTGTTTTCTAAGGTCTAATGAATTTCTAAATAAAATTTTATTAAAATTTCTATGGGGAATTACTCGTTTCCCAGAAACATACAAAATAATTTTATTTTTAATGAGAAATTTGCATTTCTTGTTAAAAAACAATAAAAATTCCTGTACATTTAGACTTGGTTGAAGAGCGAATTCCCAAACGTAGTTTCAGTTTTTGGTGGCATTTTCGTTTTATTTTTACAGCTTTAATGCGCAGATAATAAAGCAATAGCGAGCGCCTCCTTTAAACGGCATCACGTGTTTTCCCATTTCCTCTCCTCCAAATACACACCGTTTTTCTAGAGGGTGATTCCGCCACCCTGCACCGTTTTCACGAATTCGCATTTTCCCAGCGCGCATCTCCCGCCCGACTTCTTTCTTCTCAATAATTCCCATCAGACGCCCGGCGTGTGCTGTATGCGCCTCTCACCCTTGCGGAGTTAAGTTGCTTTCGCTCCCCTATATGCGGGGCACAATGCGCACTGTAATACTAAACAAATGTAGTGGATATTGCCGAAAGCTACGTGACACGTTCGGATCTGAAACGAATGCCTGCTTACGTTTTATGTTATCGCAAACGTAAATACATATCTTTATTTTTTGATAAGTTTTCGTATATGTGTAACATCTTAAAATATTATTTAAAGATTCTGGGATAATTTTCGCACTTTGCTCTGTCATTTCCGTCAATAATTTAACAATATAATAACATTGGGCGCGCCGACGCGGTTTCTCTTCGGTAGAGAGAAAAGCAGGTCATCGCAAAAACATTGCGTCGCGGCGAGATGAGAAAAAAATCCGACAATCGGACCTCCAAAGTCCGAAAGACGCAGGTGAACACACCAGCCAGTGCAAGATCGCACGTAATTTCCTGGCACCGCAGTAAATTGTGTTACCAAACAGCTTCTGCGCTTCGCTTCGCTTTTCACGATGCCAATGTCATGGACCATGTAGACTACGAAAGAGAAATCCACAAATAATAATACACATCATGAAACACTCTGTATATTTGTAGTCTGCTAGTATTTGCCTTTATTGTGTCGAGTCTCTAACGCGACTTATTGGCCGATTTGTAAATCGAAATGAAATTTATCACTCCATGCGCGTTTGGTAGCTACAGATGACCTTAACCATAACCATGCGACGCACGCACAACGGCCTACTTCCGCCGACAGTTTTTTTCTTTTTTCCTCGAGGCGGTGTTTCTCTCCGCGTAGACGCGTCGCGAATGTGGCACAGCATCACAGTATGTGCAGAAGAACACACACATCGCCAATTACCACCAGGTTCAACATGCAGCACGTGTGTAATACTAATTAAAACAAGAAGACATGTCAATGTACTCTACACAACATTTATTTCTTATTTTATTTGTATTTTTATCCTCAAAATAAAAAAAATCAAATTTGTGAAAAATTTATTTCTCTAATAAAAACGCTGAGAGGATTTTGTTAAACACTGTGTGAAATATGAACGATAAACCTCGATAGAAGCATTACTATTGTGTAAAACTAATGAGGCGTTAAACATTAATTATGATCCTCATTAAATCGATATTGCGCGTGACACGCAGCGCGCCGACAAATATTAGGCTCCTAAAAAGCTTCCCTTTCATAAAAAATGGCAGACATAACACCATGAGCTACGCGTTGGAAAAACAACGCCAGCCTGCGCAGGTAAAATGGTAAATGGAATATGAAAGCCGCCGTTTATTATTATCATCGTTATTCTTCGCTAGTAGACGTGCACGGCTCGCACTTAATGTGCGTGCGTACATTTCACGTGCGTTTTCATGTACTCACGCCGTGCTACAATGGCCGCCAACGTAAATATTTTACGATAATCTTTGCAGTACGGTTTTATTTCGGTTATACGATGTCCGGCTACAAAACTCATGCTTTCGACAGGATATTAATACGTATTACGAAACATGTGTAATAATAATTCTGATTATAAAAGATTTTCTCGAATTTTTTAATAAAATTTAAGAAAAAAATTTAACAAAATAGAAACAAATGGTTAAACTGGAATTTTTATTACAAAATTGTTTAAAAGTGCATAATTCACCCCGTGACTAAAGCCCGTGACTAAACCGTGGGACTAAAACCCGTGACTAAAGTACTTTAACACTTTTTATGTCTCAAAACCTTTAAAAATCAATTTTTTAAATATAAGCAAAACAAAAAATGAAAAAAATATATAGTAGTGATGTGTGACATCCCCTGAAATTAATAAATTGTAAAATTCATACGTTGGCTGGCAGGGGGGCGGCATGCATGACGTTGACGGCGTGGAATATATGAAAATATCTTTCATCGCGGGGGTGCAATGAATCGCAAGAAGCGACGATAATAGGAAGCGGAGATCTGTGCGATCTACGTTGCGACGACGTTATTCGCCGCCGTCGCCGCCTCCACCACCCGATACTGTCGCTTTTTCCCCGCTCGCTGCACGCTGCTGCGACGCAATAACCGAACAAAGAATCAGCACTGCACCATCATCGCTTGAAACAATCCGACGTTAGAAAAGGGGCGGCAAGCAGGCGCGTATTTAATTAGAAAAGGCACCGCATCAAAAGCGTAGCCAAGCGTCACTTGACCGCAACGCAACAGTTGTTCCACCCGCGGCTCTAGCGTTATACTGGTCGAAATATCAAAATTTAATTTCGACTCTCCTTGCCGTACCCTTCCTTATTCTGGAAAAACAAACGACAATGATTATTATTATTATTCTCGTGGCGCGGCTGTCGCGAGTTAAATAACACAAACGTTTGTTTGGCGATGGCGATGAGCAGCCCGCCGAAACGGCTTGGAAACTGTCGCGATTTGAATAAATCTTTTCGTGAAATACTCTCGGCGCTTCCATCTCTTCTCGGCCCCTTTAAAACAATATATAAATTTCTTTTTTCGGCGACGTGGCGCGGCCACAGGCATTGTTCCCCCTAATTTATTCTTTCTTTTTGTTTTACAACTTCTCAAATTCCCATAAAATTAAATAAGCCAACTTTGCTCGGCGT